CATCAGCAAGGTGCTAGGGAACGACGCCTACTATTTGATCGATGCTCAGAAGCCTCGAGCACGCAAGAGGAACGGCCTGCGAGTGGCCGGGAAAGAAGTCTGCCAAGACAGAAGGAAAGACAATCAGAAAAAACCCAAAATCAGCCCGACACAGAGTCGGAAGGCCAAAGAAGAGAAAAAGGAATTACCGTCGACGATGTCCTAGAGCTCGTGGTAGCCGGAGGTCAGCATCGCCTCCCGGTCGGTCCAGGCGGAGTGCTCGATCTCGAACTCGGCTATGAGGGCATCTTCCCGCGACTTGGCATCTTCCTGCGCCTTCCGGAGCAGCTCTTTCTGCTCGGCCTGCTGCGTCGCCAGCAGGTCGTGCTCTTGGACAAGCTTGTCGCACTCCTCCTCCTTGGCGCGGCGAGTGGTGTTGGCCTCGTTCAGCTGCTCCTGGAGGGCGGCATTGGCGTCTGAAGATTGAGAGACAAGAATGTCATCAGTAAAGAAGGTCGCCGGGGAGATCCGGCCCGACTACTCAGTAGTCGGCCCGAATCTCGGGGACTACAGCCCGCGGGCGCGCCAGCGCGCCCCCGTGGAGAAGGAAGAAAGGTCGCCGGAGAGATCCGGCCCAACTGCTCAGCAGTCGGCCCGAATCTCGGGGACTACAGCCCGCGGGTGCGCCAGCGCGCCCCCGCGAAGGAGGAAGAATTGGCTCACCTCGGCTTTCTGTCAGATCGGCGGTCCACTTCCTCAGCTCTTCAACGTTGCGGTTGAAGACAGTAGCACGGAGATTGTGGTATTCCTGCAAGGCCGGCAAAGCAAAGTTAGTCTTCGGAGCTCGCCAGAAGGAGTTCCGAGTCGCCTGCTCAGCAGCCGACCCCGAACTCGGGGACTACACCCAGTGGGTGCGCTGGCGCGCCCCCACGAAAAAAGACAGAAACTAAAAAAGGAAAAACGGAACATACCCGGACGGAGGTCCGCAGGGCCAGATGCGCCTTGGTGTAGAGTTGGAGGGCGTCGCCCTCTTTGCGCAGCTTCGATTGGACGTCCAGAAGGGCCTGGTTCAGAGGGCCGGTGCCGCCTTCACGCAGCCAGCCGGTGGGCGCGGCACTTGAGGCCTCGACGTCCAAGTTCGCCGAGCTCGCGGCGCCGGTTTCCCGAACTCGCGGCGCTGAGTTCGTCCTCTCAATCCGGCGGCGCGCTGGCGCGGCGACCTGAAGAAGTAGTTGCGCGTCGGCGTCGTCCACAGTTGGAGGATCCTGCGGATCCACCGGCTGTTTGCCGTGCGGCCTTGAGGATGGAGGCGGCGGAGGCGGCGGGGGCGGTGCGTGAGTATCCGAGCCGGAGGCATCGCCGCCCTCCTCCGCGAGAGGGTTTGCGGTGCCGACCTCCCCGGTCTGCCCCGTGAACTCAGGGGGCGGCGGCGCCGACGACAGTGGGGGGACGAGCATCGCCGATCGATGACGCGCGACCTCCTCGGCATGCCGCGTTGCCGCAGCCGCGGCCACGGCCTCCTCCAGGTGCCGCTGGGCGTTGGCGGCCGCCTTCTCGGCCTCCGCCTTCTCTAGGCGGTCGGCCTCCTCCTCCTCGCGCTTCTCTCGCGCGTTCCGTGCCGTCGCCTCCCGAAGGTCGGCGGCGGGATCAATCCGCCGTGTGTTGGCAGACGTCTCCACCGACCCCATGATGGAAGGGACGGCGGCTCTCTCAAGGGAGAGGGGAGCACTGGAAAAGATTGGAGGGAAATCAGAAAGACTCAAGCAAGATCCAGAAAAGAAATGAAGGAGTAAGGGACTTACGAAGAAACTAGCGGCGGCCTTCTCACTTCCTTTCGAAAGCGGTTGGCCTTCGCGGCCGCCTCCTCCCGCTTGGTCGCGGCGGCGGCTCCCTTGAACTTCTTCGACTTGCCGCCGGGCACACTCGGCCCGGCGTGATGCCTCTTCGCGCCGGCTTGGCTGGAGGAGCCGGCTCTTGGCTGGCGGCACGGGGCGACTTCTGCGTCGGCGTCGCCCTCGGGCCAGTCGGCGAAGGTCGCCGACGGTCTGAGGCCGCCGTCTTCCCCCTCTCCGCCGCCTTCGGCGTCGGCCTCCAGCGCCGCAGCCCCCAAGTCGGGGTCGTCGATGTCACTGACCTCGCGGTCGGGGACGTAGTCGCGCGGCTCTCTTGTAGCGCCGGCTGCGGGCGCCGTGAGAGGGTTCTGCTCAGAAGACACCAACAAAGATCAGAGCTCGAAGTCAAACGTGAAGAAGATCGAAATACAGACGGAAGCAACTTACCATTGGAGGGGGGTTGTCGCGCGAGTACGGCTCCTTGCCGAACTGCCACTCTTCCGTGAACCCGCAGTGGGCGATGTGGTTCACCAAGTTCGCCACCTCTCCACGCGGCATGTCCTTGGTGCACAGTCGGCTTGGATCGCGCCGGCCGCTCATCTGACAGATGAGGTGAGGCCGGCCCTAGAGCGGAAGAACCCGGCGCGCCACGAAGGCGGCCAGGAGATCGGAGGCGACGAGCCCCTCCGACTGCAGCATGACTCGGAGTCGCGCCACGGCGCCGACTCCGGGGGCCGAAAGCGACTTCGACCGATGGGACCAACTGGGCAGCCGGCCAGTCAGTGGCTCGGGGTTGAAGGGCGGCAGGTTGACCCAGTCGCCGTCGGTGGAGACGTTCTTCACGTAGAAGTACGTCTTCTGCCACATCTTCGCCGATTTCACCAGCGGGATGGGCGGAAAAGGGTTGTCGGCCGTCGTGCGCCGCACCGCGATGTAGGTGCCGCACTGTGCCGGCGTGCCGGTGGCCTGAGTGCCGAGCTTCGAAGAGAAGAACTCCCCCAACAGCTCGAGGGTGGGGAGAACGCCGATGTAGCCTTCGCACAAGGTGGCGAAGGCGGAGAGAAGCACCACCGCGTTGGGGGTGAGGTGGTGCGGCTGCAGGCTATGAAACTCGAGGAAAGAACGGAAGAATCCGCTCGCCGGGAGCCCCAGCCCGCGCATGAGGTGCGAGCGGAAGATGACCCGCTCGCCCTCCGCCAGCGAGGGCCGGATCTCTCCCGCCGGCGCGGGACGGGCCTGCACCAAGTCCGCGCTCGGGAGACGGCGGGTCTGGCGAAGGAACTCGATGTCCTCCGCCCCCACATCCGAGCTGTCCCACACGCCGGAGCGCGAGGTGCGGGGCGCGACGGAAGAAGAGCTCATCGCCGGCGAGAAGGGGCACTTTGGCTCGCGGCAGAGGGAGAAAGCTGCGGCTCGCGGCGAAGGAAGAAGGAAGGGCAGGGGAGCGGGGGAAAGGGTGCGCGTGCATTTCCGCCCGCTCCCTCCCGCCTACTTATAGCCCAACGGGCTAAGAAGCCGAGGGGGCGACGTGGGGATTAACTGCGCCCGCGGCCCCACGCCGCCCACGATCAACCCCCCACGAAGTTACTGCGCGCAGTAACGGCGTGGGGATGCCAACCGCCCTCGGCCACAGCGGATCCGCTCGAGAGCCGAGGCGCGGTAGTGGCGGGCCCCGCCTGACGGCCCGTCCCGTCGCTCGCGTGGGCAAGCAGACTACCGCCTCCACGTGGCGCCGTGCGATAGGACCACCTCAATAATGGCAGGGAAGCATAACCGATACGCCGCTAGTTTCCCGCCACGACTTGCGAAGCGGCGGCTCCTCACGGAGCCAATCCGGCTTCGGCGAGGCGGCCCTGTGAAACAGCGGCCGAGTCTCAGAGTCGGCGCTGGGAAGATTGAAACTGCCGAAGCCCCACAAGGCGGTGCCCGCTGGGCTTCGCCAGCTTCGGGGACTACTGTCGGAGTAATGGGCCACGGGTAGGCTGACCCGGAACCCAAGATCTTTCAAGACATCGGGGCAGGCCACGCCCCTCAGCCGAGTCCCAGCCGGCGACCTTCGAGAAGGCCGAGTCCCCGCTGGCGACCTTTGGAGGAGCCGAGTCCTTAGACGGCGACCTTCGAAGAAGCCGAGTCCTCAGACGGCGACTCTGAAACAAGCCGACTCCGGGCTTGCGACCTTTCAAGAGGCCGACTGTGAGAGTCGGCCCGCGACCTTACACGAAGACCGATGCGGGGTACAGCCCCGACGTGGCCGTCCCCTCAAGCCCACGGGAGGAAGGCATGGATACAGTGTGCCGCATCACCAGGAGATCTTCGGTGAGGCGCGGCACTGTTGCCATGCCACCCCTGACCTCAGCCACAGTGCACGAGGCACTGTGCCCACGACGGCGGCATGTACGGCCCGGAGATCGCCGGGCCCCCCGTCAGTGGGAGAGAAGAAGATGGCCGGAGAGTCCGAAGACGGCCCTGCGGGAGTCGGCCTCCCCAGAGTCGGCCGCCTCCCGACCAGGGCCCCACAAGCCATAAACCAGATTGGACGGGGAGTGGCGACAGTGATCGCTTGACAGACGGCGGCACTGTTCCCACGACCCCATGACCGAGCCTGCGTCATCAGGAGAGCTGCACAGTGTTCTGCCTGTCCGCGGGGCCCGCCAGTCGGCGGGCCCCAGAAGCCGGCAGGGAGGACGGCTGCAAGAGAGACTGACGGCTGGGGGCCACGCCCAGTCAGATTACCGTTGTACCCCCGGGGGGTAGGCCTATATAAACCCCCCGGGGCACCCATGCAAAGGGTTCGGCCCTGGATAGGCTTTAGACACATAGAGGAAAGGGAAAGAGCTAGCCTTGCTCCTTCCTGCCACCCGAAACAGCTCAAGGAGCACCTCTGTACTGTCATACCATAGTGATCATGCGGAGACCCCGCAGAGCAGCAGTAGGGGTGTTATCTCCCCGGAGAGCCGCGAAGCTGGGTAAGATTCGCCGGCGTGCATGTCTGCGCCTTATCCCGTTTTCAGGCACCGGTGACGTTCTACTCGCCCCCACCATGATAAGCCACCCGTTGGCATATGTCGCATCCAACCCCCGACATGGGTGCTGGAGTACAAGGTGAGCTTTCAGGAGATCTGGGCCGACGACAGCTACAAGGCTGCCGGCCGGACGGAGAAGAACCCCACGTTCGCGCTCGTCCACCCCATGAATCCGGAAGTGCTCTACTTCTTCCTGGAGGAGCACCTCTTCGGCGTGGACCTGCGCGCCAAGAGGGTTGTGGAGTGCGGCGTGTACGAGATGGTGGTGCCACCGTCAGGGAAGCCCCCCAACTGTTTCTCCGTCCGCGCATTGGAGCTGCCGATCGCGCTTTCCCCAGGTAGCCACCCATCACACCTTCCATGGTTTCTACCCTCTATGCTGTTGAACACTGGATGTTATTTGCATTGGAATATCACTAGACACGTGCAAGCAATCACATTTCAATTGCTCCCCTCGTTTGCTAAGGTTTTAGACTCTACTTTGCCTTGCCCAATTCAATCAAAGTTGATCTGTGGGATTAGTATTCACATGTGCAAACTTGTTATGCCGTTGCTCACGTACGTATCATTATGATGCAGTCCTTAAGCTCTGTACTCCTTCTACAGTCATCCTTCTATACTACTCCCTCTGTCCCATAATGTAAGACGTTTTTTACTAGTGTCAAATTACATTATGGGACGGAGGGAGTAGTTATTTGGTTGTATTTTTCTCTTGTATTTTTTTTTGTCAGTTGTTCATCTGTTTAAATTAGTAGTAGGTATACTAGACAGCACACTTAATGCTTATTCGGCTCCTATGCTCTGTTTGCTTCCAATTGAAATTGTTCCGAGAAAAAGGCATACATGTGTTCACCTCTGATTGATCTTCTAGTAAGCCGCTGCTATATTGTCTGCATGTGCCTAAAAAGAGAGACAAAATACCTTTGTTTAGTGTCTGCACTCTTTTTAAATCCCAAAATATTCAATGTTATCTGTTGTGCAAACAAGATTCAATTAACGTTACCTGAATCACATCAGCATTGGCACACACATCCAGAAGCATGGACGTTTCGTACCAGATCTGGAAGTTGAATATACACTCTCACATCTAAACTCTGTTTTGTAATAGGATGTTGCATCGTAAATTGGAATAGTATAGAGCTCATATCGTTCAGGACTTCAGGTTGCTCCTTACGAAGGGTTTAGGCTGTTTGTTATTTGGGGTCAGAAACTTGCAATGCATAAGCAATTTATCTTGTAGGCTGTTAAACTTGTCATATTGGAGATAGCTTGTAGTGGTCACAACGTATATCCTCTTGATTGTTTGTTATCAACTTGGATAGTGGTGGACTGTAAGTATTTTTCTTTCTTATGGCACTGTAATATACTCCCTCCGTCCGAAAATACTTGTCATCAAAATGGATAAAAGAGGATGCATCTAGACATATTTTAGTTCGAGATACATCACTTTTTATCTATTTTGATGACAAGTATTTTGAGACAGAGGGAGTACATTCGATTGTTCGTCTATGGCTATTATATCTACAGGTGTACAAACCTGCAGCCACTATCTCATCTATTTTGTTCATCTATGGCTATTATACATACACCCACGTAGTCTTTGCATGTACTGAATAGTGCCACCAGTTAACTTCAAACAAACAGGTTTTCCGGAACATGGGTTACCATGCCATCACAGACTTGGCAAAGGGACACATGGATTGATTCTTTATGCTTTGGTTTTCATTTTTCCTATGTAATTACTACTGTATTTCTGAGTGGATATATTTCCAAAAATAGTTATTTTAACCATTCACGCCAACGGAAAAAAATTATATGAGACCAGGTCTCATATAAACCAGGTGAGACCCGCCCTGATGGATGACATGTGACATTCACAAATCACAAAGCATCTAATCTCTCCCCCCTGATTTCAGGTGGGTGTTGGGGTAGATGCTTTGTGATTTGTGAATACCACGTGTCATCCATCAGGATGGGTCTCACCTGTAACCCGTGAGACCTGGTCTCATAATTTTTTCTTCCCACGCCAACTAAGTTATTATATCCATGCATTCGTGGCAATCCCAACATTGGTTATGTTGATCAAATACTTGTTAGTTTTGACTGTGTTTCAATTGCTGTTTATGCAGGTTCGTATTCTGATGTTGGCAGTGGTCCCAACGGCGAAGAGGACGTCATTTCTTTCCCGGGTGAGCTTCATCAGAGATTTGTTATTCATGTCGATCACCACACCACACGGATATTTGTCTTCCACAGCAACGATGATGACAATGGATTTCTGTTGTGTTCTCCATGCAGGAGGAATCGCTGAGTCTGCAGATCGAGTTTGAGGAGGGATCTTGAAGCAGCATATACTTAATCTGATCAACAAGGCAATGGATTTCCATGGAGATAACTTATATCTTAGTCTTCAGTCCCTCAAGATGGTCTTGTCCTTTTGGTTGCGGCCTCTTTGGTTCTATCTACGTACCCTTGCTAATTTAGTAGTTGTAGTTTCCAACAAGATGTGAGCACTCTAATTATCTTGTTGTGTAATGAGTCTCTAGTATGCTTTAGTAGCTCGATCTCACTCGCTGCTTGATGACTTATGATTATATCATGTAGGGATGCCTGTAATGTGATTCTAAATGATTAGAGAACTTTTAAGATGCTCCCAAACGATTATGGATCATCTATTTACTTTGATCTAATGGCTAGAACGATGTATTATCTTGTACTCCCCCCGTCCCAAATGACAAGTATTTTGGAACGGAGAGAGTAGATGGTAAAAGGTGGACGGTTCAGATTTAAACTTCGTCTTACAAATGTGATCGAACGATTAGGAGTTCAAAGTGATGCCAGGTGCCATATTAGCAGTGGATAGCTGCCAGGTGCCATATTAGCAATGGATAGCCACCTGAGTTATGAGTTGTGACCAGTAGGAGTATTTGTTATCAAACAGTGGCGGATCCAGGATTTGAAGTTACCCGGGGCGGAGAAGAAACAAATAATCAAAGCCACGGTACAATCAAATAAGACAATCAAGAAAATTAATTGGCCAATACTATGCATTTAGGCAAGATGATCAACACAATGAATTGTTCAGGTAGTTTCATTCTAAAGGACTAAGCCAATAATATATACTACAAAAAATCATATAAAGTCTAACTTAAACCCTAAACCCTAAAAAAGTGTAACTTAGACTCTTGCTGGCTAAATCTTCCTATAACATCTAATTTGTAATTAATATCAGTATTCAACTTTTAAGAATTAGGTCCATGTAACAATAAATAAATAAAAATGATAGAACGGAAGACAAGAAGATTACTGGAGGGCAAAAGGAGCTGCTCTTTGCTGCTTCTGTTGGTTGCTCTCTTGCCGTTTTAAGCAGGACGTTGGGCCGTGGCGGTGACGAATGGCACGAGAAATCGGTGGCCTCCCTTCTCCTCCATCAAACACCATCCATTGGAAGAACTGGGAAGCATCGCAGTGTCTCGTCAAGGTCAAGGAGGCGAGGCAACAACGGAGGGGGGTGGCGTAATTGTGTAGCGCGGTTGATCTGTTTCGATCACTAGGAATTGGCAACGTCAAAGGCTGCATTTTTTTCCCGGGAGTACAAGGCTGCGTTTTTTTGAACGGCAAATGCTTCAAAGGCTGCGGCGTAAGGAAAAGGAATGGGCTGCGTACGGAAAAAGAATGGGTATTCTCATGTTCTATTGGGCCTTACTCATTGGCCCATCTCTTTAATGAAGCGTTCTCTTCTCTTTTCATCTTCGTGCTCGAACCGTTGTCTATCTTCTTCTCTGTAGCATTCATAAAAACCTACAGCAGGAAGCTCCCCTCGCCTCCCATGGTGGCCAGGACTGGCCAAAGCATTAGGGGTACCATGGGTTCCCAAAATTTACCCGGGGCGGCCGCCCCTACACGACCCCACGCTGGATCCACCCCTGTTACCAAAGGTGACCGTTCATAGAAAGTTGCATTGATTGAGAAATCACTTTAGTTACATGACAGTCGCCTGACTTTTAAATTTCAGTAAGTTGATTTTCCTGTCCGTTTGATTGATTTTTTTGATTCGTGTTGTTTCTTCTTTTCCTAGTGTTGGTTGTTTGCCTCAGTGGGCTGTTTTTAGATTGACTAACCCTTATTTTGGATTGTCGATGTCCTTGTTGGGCACGTTGCACGCCCATTCGGTCCTTGCCTGCTTCTTATACAGAACTTACGGAGACTCAATTATGAATTGAGTAGTAGAACGTTCAAAATGTTTCTGTAGTTCAGGATGCATGCAAGTCGACATGAGGCACTGGACTGACTCATAGTCATCACTACGAGTAGTGAAAGGATCTACAACTCCTTTTGGCGCATCCTTTGTAGGAGTATCACCTAGGAGCTGATCCAGCACATACTCCTTTTTTCACTCATGAGAACAAATTAGGTACTGAATCCAATCCACATAATTTTCACCATTAGCAGCCAACTTTTCTTTCTCTAACATACGGGCTAAGTTGACCATATTGCGAGCCATTTATCTACAACGATAAAAACAAATATATTTAGACATAATTCATAATTAATTATTGCACTAGTGATTAAACGATTTTAATATAAAGCGCACTCCCACTGAAATCAATATCTCTCATAATTGATAGTGAGTGATTCAAGATCATGATCTTATTCTCAGCCAATGATGTGGACATCACTGATGACGAGAATTTTGACCGGTGGGCAATCTTTTGCCAATCATATCTCCATATTACTCTTGTTCATATTTCAATGCTTCGTACTCCAAGCTCAAAACTATTCTGCTAGAACTTCAATACAACCGAGTGCTATCTTCATACATGGTTTGGCCATCCTCATCTGACACCTCACATCTCGTTTGTACTCATGTGGACATGACGCACTCCGCAACACTACATGTTATAGACGGCTGTAACATTGGGAAGAGCACCTTTTTAACTTGATATTTACTATGAGAGGTCACCCTAATAATTGACTATCGTGCAATCAAAGGGTGCAAACAACAAAGGGATAAACATATTAGGCAATTCATAATAGCATGACATGTTATAGCCCTTGGCGCCGGACGTCTCCATGGACCACCGAGGTCTTCATGAAGTTTTCTCCGGAAGCGTTGCCGTGGCGACAATTTTGATCGTGGCACCGATTTTGTTCACGTGCACCTGGTGAAGCTCCGGGTCCTCCGAGTAACCTGTACGATGTCTCTACATCTACTCGCTCCATCCCAAACTAAGTGACTCAACTTTATACTAACTTTGCACTAGAGTTAGTACAAAGTTGAGTCACTTATTTTGGGACGGAGAGAGTATTACATTAAGGTGGCAATCCCGTAGCTCCAGCCATCATACCATGACGCACAGGCGACTTAACATTACATGTAGCCCTACAAAACAAAGTTAAACGGTTTGGCAAATTTTATTTATGTGGCTTCTAGGGCTTCCGGATAACACTAGCTACATATACACACCATCAAGGCGATAATTCTTGTTGCTCGATTAACTCTCCGTGTGTGTGTGAAAGAAGAGACTTAATTAAAAATCTCGGCCCCATAGTAAACTTCGTCAAATATGCGTGACCCCTAGAAGATCGTTCATCTTCATTGCCCTCTTGTGTACACAACAGTTTGCTATTCTTGATGATGAAGCCCAAGGAACTGTTAGCAGATCATCGACAGCCAGAGCCGATCAGTTGTCAGAACTTTGCTCAAAGCAACAACATGCCTTCAATGAATTGAACTGAAGCAACACTTGAGGGAAGCATAACAAGAATATCAAACCGTCACATCCACATGTGATTTAGATCAAAACCTAGATCTACTCATAGAACCGCTCATGATGCAACTGTTCGGAAATGTAGTAGAAAACAAAAAATCGCCTATGATCACCCAGGAACAATATGAAGATGCCTATAGGGTTTGGATCAATGATCATTACCAACTCTAGAGTGCAACGGAAGTAGACAAGTCCGTGTAGAACATACTTGGAATCCCTCAAACCATTGATGACGATCCCGTGAACTGCCCTCAAACGGAAGACCGAAAGCACAGCCTCTCTACTTGGTTGTAAGCGTACAATCTTCACGATCCGGTAGTGCTTCGCTCTCCAGAGCTAATTATCATCGGAGAATTAGAGGAAGGAGATTAGAACCACACTGTGTTTCTAATTATGAGGAATAGAGGAACTAGGTCTAGCTCTAATTAGTCAACTAGGACCAAATAGATCTAGATAATCTAGAGCGGGCTCCAAAACTTGTATGTCCCAAAGGGCAAAATCCTCCAGTATATATAGGTTAGAGGGGAAGGGAAGGGCGGCCACCAAGGAGGGCCTACTTGATCCCAATAAGAAAATAAGAATGCTCTCCCTCTATCTCACTACAATAAAGTGTGGGGCCTATTTGATCCCAACAACATTCTTATTTTCCTATAAAGTAATTCGCATGGTTACTCCCGACAAGTGGGGCTACACTTATCATTGTGAGATAGAGAGAACTGGCATGTGGGACTAGGCTTATTTTTGTCATATAACATGGTCAACGGGGTTGACATGAAAATAAGAATGTCTAATGCACTTTTTAGCAAACATCTAACGGAATGATGGCATTTTTAGATATCTGATGGCATTTTTGAGCAAGCATCTCACCGATCAATGGCATATTTGAGTAGTTGTAACTTCTAATGGCAAAAGTGAGTAGTGAGACACGACTAGTGGCATAAATGACAAAAACCCATTATTGGAAGCATTTTCCACATATATTATTTATTGATAATACCCGATAATCTTCGAAACCCTTCTGATGACTCCAAAACACTTCCGGTTCCTCTCGAAGCTATTTCGAATATTAATGAAACAATTCCACAAATAAATCATTTGATACTCTTGTCCTACTAACACTCAGCAGATCATGATTACCTTAAGCTTGTGACCCCATAGGTTTGGTAAATCATAGACATGAACGAAACCCCTTCGTTCAATGACCGATAATGGAACCATGGACATCCATATCGATCCCTATGATTACACGGATGACATTCGAGTGAACCTTTGGTTATCATGCACTAGTAGAAAAAGGGCCTAATGTGAAGCACATTAGTCCCGGTTTGTAGCTGAACCGGCACTAATGGTCACATTAGTGCCGGTTCAAATGGCTAGGCGAGCGTCGCTCATTAGTACCGGTTCGTGGCGAACCTTTAGTACCGGTTCATGCCACGAACAGGTACTAAAGAGGTTGTGGCAGGCTGTTGGCAGGCTGGAGCCCCACCAGCACCTTTAGTACTGGTTCATGCAACAAACCGGTACTAAATTTTTTTTGTTGCAGCGTTTTTTTAGTCCCA